GGGGCGGGTGCACAGATACACTTTTGTTCCCTGTGCATAGACACCCTCCCACACATAGATGAGAGTGTGTACTTGTATATAACTCACCTCCCATTTACTCAGAAATACATATCTTTGTCTACACCTGCCCCGAACACATACCCACAGACTGTAGGAAAGACAGCAGTGCCTCTGCCTGCATTGGAGGTGAGTTTGGGAGCCCACAGGGCTCTTAGGCTGATATCTCAGCCTTCTCAGCCAGCTGGACCACACCCAGGGGCACAGGTTCGGTTGCTTCTTGCTGGAGCAGCGGTGACTTTGGTCAGGAGCTCTGGTTGCAGCAATGGACGTCTGAGCTGCTGGCAAGTGGGAGAGGCCTGTCAGCAGCCGTGTCAGCAGCTGTGGGTGGGAGCAAGCCCAGGGCACCTCCTGGAGAAAACACGTGCCAGTGCACCCAGGAGGTCTGCATGAGCTGGTGCAAGCAGCCTGCCCACCTCTGCCCATGTTCACCTGTGCCCACCAGGCGGTCTTTGAGCTTTCCATCTGTACTCAGTGGAGGTACCCACAGCCAAGCCAGCAGCAAGCTCTTCTCTGAAGCCGCCGTCTCCTCTAGTGTCAACAGAGCCTGACGCAGGGGCCTGAGATTTGAAGCAACACAGCCCCAATGCTACAGTTGTGTTGTTGGGGGCTGGAGTGGAAGCCCAGGCCGGCGTTGTTGGGTAAGGTGGGCAGGGACCACCAAGGCACAAGGAGCACAAAAGGGTCTCAGCCCCAAGTCTTGGGCGGTGGGTGTTACAGGAGAGTAGGCTCCTAAGTTGCTGCACTGGGGTGAGGAGATACTCATGGTAGCCAGTAATGCAGCCCAGGCTCCCCTGCAAATTCTGGTACAGTGAAGATTTTGAGGCTAGAATGACTCAGAGATAGCCCCAAGCATGTCGGGGGCACCTAAGTGGTGTGAGGTGCAGAGCATCGTGCCTCTCTGCACCTCTGTGCATATACACCCATCTCAGTGCATGGGATGGGCACCTCTGCCATCCCCTTGGCCCCTCTGCCAGCCTCTGCCATGCCTTCTCTCTCCCCTGTGTGCCAAGTAGGCAGAGGTGGGGAGAGATCAGGCCTGCCCTGCCCTTTGGAGCTTCCCTGCTGCCGACAAGTCCAGATCCATCCCTCTATCCCTGATCCCTCACTCCAAGGGGAAGGGAGGGAACTGCATGTTCATGGAAGGATTTCCAAACCCCCATGTATAAGATAAGGGGGAGGCAGACAATGCCACCAGTAGAGAAGGGGCCAGAATCCTGGGATTATACGGCCCTTGGAGTCTTGGAGAAAGGTCTATGCAGGGGTCTGGTCCCCTAGATGGCCAAGGGGGTGGGAGGATGAGGGTGGAGGTCAGCAGGCTCATGGACTTGCTTCATAGCAGATCAGGGATGGATGGGACTGATGGAGAAATTCCCCCCAGGAAAGCCTCCCACAGCCCATCTGGTACCCAGGGAGGGGACTTGGCTCCATCATTTCTGCTGAGGGTGACCTTGCAACCCAAATTCCAGAGGTAGAGAGAAGGTTTAGAAGACAGTGGTCCCAGCCACCCAGGAGATCACCATGTTACCTGCTTTTCCGGGAAGCCATGGGCTCACACAAGGAAAGGGAGGGAATATTCACCTGTTGGAGACAAATGGGGAGAAAATAGGTTGTTCTAGGGAGTGGAGTTGGCAGTGAGCACACCTTGGCGGAGAAAAAGAGGCTGGGATGGGCTGGGCTTGGAGGGATCTTGGCAAATCCTCAACAAGACACATTTTCAAGCTGGCCTGTTTCTTTAGGCATGTCCCAAGGACACACCCAATGACAATAAAATCCCTGGCCCTGGCTCAAGCCCTTCCTGGGGAAACCCTCTCCCGGGAAAAAAGGCTTCTATCTGAGACAGGCCTTCAGGGCACTTCTTTGGCCTTTTGTGGCTTGGCTTGGGTTTGGGGGGTGGACCTGAGGTGACCAGATTGGGGAGGGTCTAGATGAGATATGGGAACCAAAACAGTGTCTGCCTTTGGCATTTGAACCTAGACCTGGGAAGTCATGTGAGAGCCTCAGCCTTCAAGAGCCTCCAAAAAGTGACTCCAGGTTGGCACTGTTCTATGGGACTCTTGAAGGTTAGCCCACTGAGCAGGAATTTGGGAGTGACTGCTTACCCAGAATGGCTCAGAGGGTCAGTCCTCACCTGCTGAGGTCTATGGTAGCAGTTGCCCACTTTACATGTCTTTTGATCTCTAGTCTTGGATCATGAGGGGGGGACCTTCAATCATGATCTTTGGTGATTTCTGGTTAAGGATTTTGTTAGTGAGGGCTCTCTGAGTTCAAGTGATTAAAACCCAGCTCCAGCTAAATTAAATAGAACAAGGAGTCCATTGGCTCAGGTAATTAGGAAGTCCAAGCGAGTAGTCTAGCTGCAGCTGGAACCAGGAGCTCAAGTGTTGCTAATCAGCATTGACTGTCTTCTCTCCCCCCATCTCTTGACTCTCCTGCTTCTTTATTGACTGAATTCTCAGGCAGGCTCTTCCCAGTAACCCTTGAAATTCTTGCTTTATGTGGGGCTTAAGGTTCAGATCAAAGCATTCATGTCAGTTCCTGCAAAAGCCCTCTAAGTAGCCTTGCTTTGGTTTCTGACCTACCCCTGAACCATACAGTGTCAAGGGAGATGACAGACACTGACTGGGCAGATGTGCCTGCGTCTGTGGTCAAGGAGGCAGTCATGGGACAGAAAAACCCTGTGAATCGGGACAACCCTGTCCTGTGACCTCCAGCCAGGATCTGTGGAAGAAGAACTGGAGCTGGTGCTTGCTGGCAGAGACTTTTGGAACTTCTGAGAATATTCCCCAAAAGGCTGAGAGAAGGATAAGAGACATCTCAGGCAGTGACCACTACAAAGACTCTCTGCCTGCTTTGGGGGACTCCACCAGTCACAGCCCCTGAGCAACCAAACCATTATGGCTTGGGCTTCAGGGAGGATGGCAGTGCTACTCCAAGCAGCCTCCTCAGTAGCCCCACATGTGGCAGGCTCAGAATATACAAGTGGCTGTGGGTGGGATGAAGAAGGCCCATACCTAGCCACTTGGAGAAAAGACAAGAGAATGACACAGAAGATCTTTGTAGTATTTGACCAACCTGAACCTGGCAGAGGGACAGAAGGAAGGCATCCACCCCAGGCCTGGGGCCTCAGAACAGCTGAAACACTCCCCACCCCAACTGGCCACTCTTCTTTCCTCCCCCTGAGTGGGCAGGCCTTGGCCCCTTGGCTCCTGCTGGCCATCTCTGCAAAGGGTAGACAGAGGAACCTTCTTGGGCATCATGAGACTGACTGCTGGGAATCCTTGACCAGCTTCTTTCTTAGTAGAAATAGAGCTCAGGGTCTTCCTAGGTCAAGGGAGGTAGACATTTTAGCCCTTTCCACCATGTAAATGAATGGTGGTCCTATTAGCCTTCCTCCTAATGGCCAAGAGCATAAGGAATAGCTCTTGTTTACTCACATGTCCCCAGTTCTTCCTGACTGTGATGGTGACCCTCTCTGGCCCTAGCTGCTCTTTTCAGACTCGTGTAGGCTATGTGTTAGGAGGAAGCCTGTCCTTGAGGGCCTTGGCCACTGGAGCTGGTGGACCCTGTGGGATAGAGATGGGCAGAGATCCAGGCCTGGGGTTGGAGATAGAGAGCTCTGTCGTAAGCAGAAAAGAGAACCATGCCAAATTACTTTGGATGACAAAGAAGTATCAGAATAGGATGAAGGGAGAAGCCAGGATCCCATGAAGAATTCTTCCAGGAAGGGATGGAAGGCAGTTAGTGGAGTCCCAAGACCTGTGTGCTCATCACCTGGGCACTCCTCTGCCCCCCAGGCTTTCACTACCGCCCCAACAGAGCACCCACCCATCTCCCTTCTGCCAGCCCGTTGCCATCCTTCAAATGGCAAAGTCCACCTCTGCCTTGACACTCTCCCAGAGTGCCCATGAGGTCCCTAGAGCACTCAATGTCCATGCAGTGAATGGACCCAGGGCAGATACTATCTGGTGGTACTTTCCAAGAGCTGTGTGGGCAGGTCTTCCAACTGAACCCACAGCTTCCTCGAGAGCAGGGGCTGTGACCCCTTCCATCCTTGGTTGCATGAAGGGATCTGGACCTCTTCCTATCCATGCTTGGCCCCTCCCTACCCTTCCAGCTCATGGCCCCCTCTTTCAGTTTTCTTACCCATGAAATGAGAGAAATGATGGCTGCACGTACTTACCTCACAGGGTAGTGGTGTTTTGAACAAATTAGACTTCTTACTCTCACAGACCAGCCTTCTCCCAGTTACTCTGCCTTGCCCTAGAGGCCACTTCTTCCTCATTTTTGTATTTCACAGAGTGATTTGCTCAGTCAGTGTTTGTTTGAATGATGAATGAATGAATAAGTGAAATGAATGAGCCTTTCTCATTTGGCCAGACTGTCAAGGGTGCTGCGAGGATGTGGTACCCACTTGCTGTGGTTGAAATGTCAGCCCGCTTTAAGGGCATGTGCAAGTAGCACTGACCTGTGATGGGGAAAGGGAAATGGTTGACCCACTTGAAAGGCTCTGTGAGGCACTGAGGCCTGGATGCCTTTGAAAGCAGAGAAGCAGCTGAACTCCAGACCAACCCAATGGTCCTGCTGGGTTTGAAAGACCCTCAGTGGTCTCTGTGTTTGTCCAGGGCTCCCTTGGCCTTTCTCACAAGGTAGAATTCCACACACTGGACATGGCATTGTTTCTTTTTCTTTTTTAATTTTTTCATCAGACATTTGTGTAAGTGCACCTCGAAGTTTTTCAGGCCCTTCTTCCAGGGAGCATGTTGTCTCTTCTTCCTTAGGGAGACGTGAGCTCCTAGAGCTGGATCCAGGCCAAGCGCACCAGGCTGTGTGCTCTGTGCTCTGCCCTCTGCTGCCCCTTCCCTCCCCGGCCCAGCTCCGACCTTGCCTCTACCCTCCCAGCTGGGCCCTCATGGCCATGCTCTTTCTTGTCCCCTCTGTAGGCTGGTGGTTCGTGAGCACCTCTGAGGAGCAGGGCTGGGTCCCTGCCACCTACCTGGAGGCACAGAATGGCACTCGAGACGACTCAGACATCAACACCTCCAAGACTGGGGAAGGTAAGGACTTCAGGTCCAAGGGGGGAATGAAGAGGCAGGGGTAGGGGGCTTGGTGCCCCGAGGGTCTGGGGATTGGTGCCAGCCCCATTCCTGGCCCCAGGAGTGACTCTATCCCCTCCCGAAGGCAGCTCTCACACACTCCTCCCTATAACCATCTGCCAGTCAGAATCCCCCAGCTCCTTGCCTCAGGTCCCATCTCACTGAGGGGACCCACATGCTCACCACCCACCTCAGACCTCTCCCTGCGGCCCTGCTAAAAATAGAGGAGGATCTGCTTGGCTCTCAGGTCTTGGCAACTTTGGGCAGAGACTGGGAAGAACAGTCCAAGAGCATAGCCCCCCAAAGCTCCCTCCACCCAGAAACCCTGGAGGACCCCATGGAGACCTGCCTTTGCCTCCCTGCCCCACACTGTGCTCCCTGCGGCCAGGATGGCCCCATGGAGCTGGGTGTACACCCCGTTTGCTGTGTGTTCATGCTGCACTGCTGTCAGGCTGGCCGGCGTGCAGGTGCAGAAGGCAGGTCTGTTGGTCCTTTCTCGGGGCCTCAGGAACTGAGGGATGGCTCAGGCCCTGGCAGACTCACCCGTCTGATTAGCTCTGGCTCAAAACTTTGTCTGGGTCTTGTTGCACTTCAAAGAGACTGCCCCCTCATCACCAACCCCTTACAGCCACCACTGCCCTGGCAGCTGTCTTTGGACTCGGGCATTCTCCAGAGCAAGCTGCCTGAACCGGGGAGTTTGAGCCACCCCAGCTCCTGGCTCAGTCTCATCATAACTTCCAAGCCTCCCGTGTCCCGTGTTCTGGCAGCCAGGGCGCTTTCCTAACGGTCAGTGGGGACAGTCCAGATGGGAGTGTCTGAGAGCCTGGGGATGGAGGCCTGGCACCAGGCTCAGGCCCCCTCCAGCCTGCCTCTCCTCCCCCAACACCCCCACTGCCAGGCCAAAACCAGCAGCCTGCTGAGTGCCAGCTCCTTATTCATCCTTCCCCTAAATGTCAGTTAATTACTTGGCGGGCAGTTGGGCTCTACCCTTCCTCCCGCTTCATTTCAGCTTCTTGTCCAGAGCTGTGGCCCCTGCGATGGCCTTCCACCTTGTGACAGGTTTCCAGGGGCTAGGCCTGAGGTGGACAGGCCAGCGTGTGCAGGCTCCTCCCCAAGCCCTGGGGCTGAACCCACACCCCACCTGATCCCTGTCCCTGGACAGTGCAGCCACTGAGGTCTTGACCTCTGAGCTGGGTCTGGTCTAGTTTGTCTCCAGCCCCCAGGCCTTGCCTCTTAGGTGCTTCCACATTCTAGGGGCTTCCCAGAGCCTCTCAGAAAACAGCTACAGTATACCAATGTCTCACCAAGTACCAGGTGCTCAGCTTGGTGCTTTAAATGCCCTCAAAATGCCCTGGGACGACACAGGTACCACCCCCACCTTTCCAGATGCCGGAACTGAGGTTTGAATCCCGCTCCGCCTCTTTTGCCATGCTCCTCACCACCATGCTGCACCCTCTCCATGGAGCATTTTGCTCGGAAGCTGTGAGGGCAGCTCTGGGCCCAGCATTGTGAGGCTTTCTATGTGGAATTGGAGCCCCCGGCTGAAAAGACTACTCCAGGGAGGTCGGAGCAGAGATGTTGGGCAGATAGCGGAGGATCGGGACACTGCGTGGGCACAAAGCCAGGGCAGGAAAGAGTCTGAGAGGTGTGTAGGCAGAGACACCAGCCTGGTTGCAGCAAAGAAAGGATGCTTTGCAGAGAGCAAATGGTAGCCAGGCAGGAGGGTTTGGGGCTTGATGGCATGAGAACCAGGAGGCCAGTGGAGGTCTGTGTTCAGAGGGTGTATGTGTGTGTGTTTGTCTGTCTGTCCGTCCATCTGTCTGTGTCCACATCTGCACCCATGTGACCATCCTTAAAATAAGGTCTTCTCCATGCTTTTGACAGGGCCTGTGTGCCAATCCCCCTGACCACACTCATGCAGCTGTAAATTCTGCTATCACATCTTGAGGGCCCAGGCGAATGGCCCTAGGGTTTTGGTGTGCCTCCCAGTCTCTGCCCCTGCAGCCATGTGCCTGAGAGATCAGCCCAGCCTGGTTCTCTCTCTGGCCATCTCTGCCCCAGCCCCATTGCCATTCCAATGTAGGTCCCCTGAGTCCTGTACACAGAAACTGGAAGCCTTCATCCTATCAAGGCCTCCTCACAGCTCATGCTTCATTGCTTTGGAAAGAAAAGAGACCACTGGTCCTTTGGGTTTATTTCTATTCTCAGACACTGGCGTATATTCGTGTTTCTCAGGAAGCCGAGTATGCTGGATAGAATTCAGAAGCATTAGCCATGGGGGCAAGGGGGGCTTGCATCCTCTTGCACACTGACAGTGAGAGCACATCCGCGAGGCACTTTAGTGCACAGTCAGATCTGTCACTCACCAGAGGTGAGGAAATGGAGGCCTGCAGAGCCCCGTGAGTTTGTGGCAGAGGCAAGGCCAGGCCCTGGGTCTTTGCTGGTGCTCCTGTGGCCTACAGTCCCATGACGGGCCTTCCTCCTGGGATGGGCGGGTGGGGGGACCTGCACTGGGACCAGCAAACCAGACCATGTCATCCATGCTGCTGCACCCAAGGACAGATGACCATCCAGTTAACAGGTTTCCCCAGCTCCAGAACGTCTCCCCAGTGTCAGGCCTTCTCCATCATCATTGGCAGGCAACTTTTACGTCCCTGTGCCTCTGTTTTCCCATATGTAAAATGGAGATAGTACCAACCACATAGGGTTTTTGTGAGGCTTAAGTGAGATAATACTTGTGAATTGTTTAAACCAGGCCTGGCACACATGAGTGCTCAGTTAATGTGAGTTATGGTTAGGGTGGCCCCCTGTCTGTGCATCAGCTGAAATGCCTCTGTCTCCGTAGAGAAAGTAGAAAGCCTACCTTCCCCCACTCCCTAATCAGGAGGCCAGTGTCAGGGGATCCTCCCGATCTGGACCAACACAGGACCTGGTTTATGTCGTACTGGTTAGGTTCCTTTTAGCCCTTTGTCTCTCTTAAGCCAGGGCAGGCAGGGCACCCCATATGACAGATGAGGAAACAGAGGCTCAGAGAGACACAGGGAGCTGGCAGTGGGCCTGGACTAGAACTCATACCTCCTAACCTTTTATCCGGCCTCCTGCTTACAAGAGGCAGGTCAAATGGCCACTCTCCTCCTTCTGGGAAAGCAGATACCTTCCAGAAGTTCTTGGTGGGATTTGTCTGGGGCATCTGGAGAGTTGTACTTTGACTCTAACCAGCGGCCTCCCTCCCCCAGATCTGGGCAGCCTGGCACCCTTCTGCCGCAGTGCCAGGAGGTAGGGCCCAGCTGGCACCCTAGAGCCCTGGTCTGGTGCCTCTTCCACCTAGGAGTCCAGCGGGAGGGCAGGGGCATCTGGAGCTGGGCTGCAGCAACCTGAGGGCCAGTGTAGGGTGTGCCCTGGGGAGGGTGTTGTTGGCGGAATCCGAATGGATGTTTGTGGAGAGGGATCAGCACCAAGGCCTGTGTGTACATTTCATTCAGCAAACGTCTTGGGGCCCAGACACTGGGCTAGGCCCTGGGGATGCAGAGCTGAAAGGCAAAGTCTTTGCCCTCACCAAACCTATCCAGGGGGTGACTGAGAAAGCAAAGACATACACAAGACCCAGAGTGGAAAGAGCTAGAAGCACCAAAAGGCAGGGACCCCAGGTCTCTCTTAGGCTTGGTTACTCTTCTACCTGGGGCCTAGCCTGTGGTGCACATTCTCAATGAATACTTGGTGAGTGAGTGGATGCAAGGCCGGGTGCTGGGAGACCCCAGACACTTCTGGGAGTCAGCACTGTCCAGCATGGGACAACACAGGGATCTGCTCTCTAGGGGTTTCCTGGCACTGGACTGGAGCAAGAGATCCTTTTCCTCTCTGAGGTGCTGGGATTCTGAGTTCTTTAGCTCCCTTCTAGGTTCGGGCGTCACCTCCAGGGTTTGACCTGGGTTGGGTTTTTCCCCAAATGCTGGCCACCCTGGGGGGCAGTCCAGGCCTGGGGATGTGGACAGTCCCTGCCTCTATCCCTTCCTCCCACCCACCCCACTCCATCTCATCTGCATCTCCATTCTCTCCGCCGGTTCCTGTCGGCCGCATGCTCCATCGCCATCTCCCACACCAGTGTCCAAGAGACGCAAGGCCCATCTGCGGCGCCTGGATCGCCGGTGGACCCTGGGCGGGATGGTCAACAGGCAGCACAGCCGAGGTGACCGCGGGAGCAGCTTCTCCTAACCCCGCAGCTGGCACCTCTCTCACTTACGCCTCTCTCCCACCTGGCTCTGCTCTCCTCTGCCCCTGGCTGTCTCAGCCAGATTCATGGGCCAGACTCTCTTTTCTCTTCTTGTGCATCTGGGAGGGCCAGGAGGGCTGCTTGGGAATTGGGGTGGCACTGGGGACGACTCTGGCTTCTGCCAACTTCCTGGGGGCATGGGGCATAGGAAATGGTGTGGGCTCCCCAAAGCAGGACAAGAGGCTCGAGAAGGAAGATGAAGGGGCAGCTGGGCTCTAGGAAAGGCCACATGGGTCCTGGAAGCTGAAGATTGAGGGAACTGAGCTTGTCTAGAAGTGGGCATTCTACTCGCCCCCACCTTGCATTGCTTCTCTCCTCAGAGACAGGGCTCCCTCAGCCAAAGCTATCCTAGTGGTTGCTCAGGAACAGAGTAGAAAGAGGGACCAGCCCACAGCCTCCTCCTCAGCCAGCTCCAGAGAAACCAGAAAGGCAGGGAAAGCCAGAGCTAGCCTGCACCAGGGTGCAGCCCCAACCGACTCTGATGAGGGTGTTAGTCCAGCCAGGAGCCTCTGGCATCTCCCAGCACTGGATGTTGCCAAGTCGAGGACACAGTAAGAGCAGACGAAGTGTAAAGCAAAGGTCAGTCCAAGCTAGGAGGGCTGGGACAGCATTGTGGGGCGGGGCTGGGATGCAGCCCTGAGCCTTGGTGACAAACGAGATTGGGGAACACACCCGGGAAACCACAGCAGGACAAAGGTTTGCCTTCCTCTGCCCCCCTCCAGCATCTACTCCAAACACCATCACACACTGAGCCCGCAAGCACAACTCTGTGTTCACTGCCACACGGCCACAACCCCAGAACCTCACATGTCCAGCCGGCAAAGTATGACCACCGTGCACAGCCCTGACGGCCACGGGTGGGACTGCAGTACAGTTACATCCAACCAACGCCACCACTGCACATCTGCTGCCCTGTGCACCCACCCCACAGACCACACGCGTAATTCCATTTACACAGCTACACAGAGCCGCTTACAGTCACAAATACACTGTACACAGAACTTGCTCACTGCCCGTGGTCACATCATATACACACCTCTTGCAGCAGCACCTACAAGTACCTATAACCCTTTATATACAGTGTCATCTAAAGACCAAACCCGTTGCTGGCGAATGGATTCCAAACCGTAGCGACCCTATAGGACAGAGTAGAAGTGCCCTATAGTGTTTCCAAGGCTGTAAATCTTTATGGAAGCAGACGGCCACATCTGTCTCCCACAGAGCAGCTGGTAGGTTTGAACCCCCAGCCTTTCTGTTAGCAGCCAAGCGTTTAACCACTGCACTACCAGGGCTCCTACAGTCTCATATACACAACCCCGTGTACTAACCGCATACACACAGGCAATCTCAGTTACAAATGTACACTGATGTATGTAGATACAAATACCCATCCAAATGTATAATTCTAGAATCACCCATACACATACAAATACAAAAAAGCAAAATACTAGCCCACAACTGCGAGCTTGCTCACCCTACCCTCTCTCTGTCTCTAAAATAAGAGACCTAAACATAATTTCCCAGCCCTAGCCCTATGCGTTAAGTTAAATCAAGCAGCCAAGAAAAACGTGAAGAAAGCTGGCTAGGAGAAACTTCGCTGCAAGCAGCAGTGCTGATGGGGGAGGCAGGCAGTGGGTCATTGGCTAACTAGACAAGAGAAAAGCAGTGCTTCCTGGGGCCTCCACTCCTGTTCCCTCAGCCAGCTGGGCCTCTGGAATTAGAAGGCCTCTCGCTGTGGGTTTGGGTAAGTTGGAGGGGGTTGCGGGAGGGGAGCAGGGAGACTGCTGACAGAGGGGAAAGTGTTTGGAAAGAGGAGGCTTCTGTGGTTTGGAAACTGCAGGGCTCTCTAGTCCCTGCCACCAAAACCAAAACAGGCCTGTCCACCTCCCCCGCAACCCACCCACCCAGCAGCCGGCCAGTGGCCTTGCGAACCACCACCACCACCACCCCCGCCCCGGGAGAGGTTGCCGTCATCACTTGATGGCACATCAGAGTGACCATGGCCTCCATGCTTCCCAGAAGCCTGAGGAGTCCTACAACCCCTCCTGGGCTCCCAGCACCCGCTTCCCTCAACTCTGTTTCCTAAGGGGCACCCCTTTCAGAGACCTCAGCCAACCACATCCCTCTGTCTGGGCAGAGCCAGTGGGGGATCCTCTCTGCTCCTCCCTCGGAGAAACCTGGGAGTTTGGACGCCTGGGGTCCACGTGGCCCGTGCCCATGGGGAGGTAATCCACACGTCTGCCACCTGAGCCAAACCCCGGCAGAAAACTGAGCCCTAAGACAAATGGAAGAGTCGGTCTGACGGCCCAGCCCACCTGGGACCAGCACTCTGAATTCTCATCACCTAGAACCTACACGGTGACCAGGCAGGACAGCCTCTGAGCCAGCCCAGAGAGTGCTCAAGGGAGCACATGAACTTCCAGATGTCTGTGCTCACAGCAGCCCCTCAGCCCCCCAGAACAGGGCCTTTTGCAGGGAGCAGCTCAGCTCAATGACATTTTTGGTTCTGCCTACCCCAGGAGGGTCAGCAGAAAGCAGACCCTTGCTCAGCCCGTGGACTGTCCTTATCAGGCACACAGGGAGGCTGCTGCTGGGGCCTGGCAGCTCCAGGAGGCCGAGCCCCAGGAGATGGTCGTGGGCCCAGTTCTCTAACATGAGGGCAGGGCAGGGCTCCTCTGATCTCCCCAAGAGAAGATTGTCATTTTTCTCTGCAACCTTGCCTAGGAAAACTTTAATGATGGCTTCCTGCTCAAACCACAGGCTTTTAAAAATAGCCCAGCTGAGCAAAGGCAAAATGCGGAGCCCAGGCCTCGCCTCACCCTAACCTCAGAACCCTGGATCCCCAAGGCCTGGCGTTGCCCCTCTGGCCACCGCCCAGGCCTGGGTTTACCGTGCTCCACTGGAAGATGGAGCAGGGCTAGGAGCTAGGCAGGAGAGCGGAGGGCCGGCCTGCTGAGCACTGCACTTCTCAAAGGCCCGAGTCAGAATCTGGCTGCCTGGGCTTCTTAGGTGTTCTTGGCAGCTCCCCCCAGCATGGCTGGAGGAGAATCCAAAAGCTTCCAGGAGCAAGGCCCTGCCCCCATCAATGCTGAGAAAGGCCTGCACTCGAGAAGGGCCGGCTGAACACTTGGAGGCTCCAGTGGAGCCTCACCACCTTTTGCTTTTTGGCAGCCTTTTGGACTCAGCCATCAGTTCTGTTCTCCCAGCCTGGTGGGTCACTGCCTCCACCCCAAAGGGAGCTGCTGTTGGCCCAGCACAGGTTGCAGACAGGGTCCTGATAACCTAGGAGGATGAGCAGATGGCCCTCCCACAGCAGGCTGCCCATCAGGGTCCAGCAAGGAGTCCGGGGGGAGACTGTCACAGCTGGAGCCAGGCTGGAGAGGCATCTGCATCAGCATCCTGCTATTTGGAGCTCACAGAAAGCCTCCCACCACTGCCCCTTCTCAGCCCTGCCTTTCTCTATCCTGATGTAGTTGATAGTCCCTTTGGAGCACCTACTGTGTGGCAGGCCCTGTCTCAGCCCTGAGGGAACACCTGGGCGGCAGAGGACCGCGTAGGTTCAGGGCAACCCTCCAAAGGGCAGAGCTTCAGTCTGTGCCGGTCTGTCACTGCTCTTTTCTCCCAGAGAGTGTGGGTACACAGGTGGGTTCCTTCCTGAGCTGTTCTCTAAGAGGCGCTCCACCAGGAGTCAGGAGCTCTTCCGCCTGCTGGCTGTGGGCAGAGCTAGGGAGCACCCAGCTCCAGGTCTACCTGTCAGGGGCTTGTTGAGGGGGGCATAGATGGACCCCAGCAACAAGGGAAGAAGCACCTCCCTAGAAGCCGGAGCAAGGGCCCATATGAGAGGTCTCAGGACCTCCTGCCAGGAGGGAGGTTGAAGGACACTGGGGACGACACCAGGTTGCCCGAGCCCCGCCACAACAGTCCTTTTCCTGAGATTCCACAAGGTGCTTAGTTAACGCCTTGGTAGACCCAAGCCTGGCAGGCACTTGTGAGAATAGAGCAGGTGGCATTCGCCCCCGGCAGACAGCGTACGTCGGCCCACAGGGGGCTCTGAGAGGCTTGGTTGTGTTGCACTCCTTGGTTTTGTTTCCACTGCTTATTTGACTACAGACCCTTTTCATAACAAAACACATGTAACCATTCTCTTAGAACTTGTGACCTGTGATTCCTCGGGTGTTAATGAGTGGGCAGGGGTGGGCAGGGAAGGCTTCACCAAGGAGGTGCCCCTAGAGCCATCTGCAGGTCAGATGAGGAAGCTTTGAAGAAGTGGAGGTGGGGGAAGGGCTAGGAGAGCACGTCTGGGACACAGAGGGAACTGTGGCACATTCAGGGAAGGAAGGGTGTGCAGGGGACCCAAGGCATTCAGAGGACACCAAGGGCTGGTCTCAGACTGTTCCATGAGGAACAGGCTCCTCCTAACCCTGCCCTCAGCCTAGCAAGCTTCTGGGGCCCTGTAGGCACCATGCCCCAGCAGCCTGGGAAACTGGGGTCCTGGCTGGCTTGGGCATACACTATGTACAGCAGGGGCCCTGCCCCCATGACCTCCCGGCCTCTACCCCTGAGACTGGATCCCTTCCCTGGAAAAGCCAGAGGCCGACCCAGTGCATCTCGGCAAGCAGCTAAGCCAGGCCGGGTGTGGCAGGGACAGGAAGGAGGACTCACACCCCGACCTCAGATAATGAGGCTTTCTTGCTTCCCCACCACCTGCAGAGGAGAAGTACGTTACTGTGCAGCCTTACACCAGCCAAAGCAAGGACGAGATTGGCTTTGAGAAGGGCGTTACCGTGGAGGTGATCCGGAAGAATTTGGAGGGCTGGTGGTACATCAGGTAGGAGTACTGGCAGAGGAGCGAGATGCCTTTTCCCTCCCCTGTCTTCCCGGCCTGGGCAGTGGAGCCTAATGTGAAGTCCCGTTAGTTACCAACAGCAGCTTTGCGTGCACCCCAGGGGCTTGGCTGCTGCAACTCCGCCCAGCTAAAAAGCTCAACCTGACAGTGCTCATCTTGCAGATTGTCTCCTGGGACACACAGAGCAGAGGCTGAGCTGCAGCCAGCGGGGCACAGGGGCCCTGGCTCCGCTTGCAAGCTGTGGTGTAATCCCTTCCCACGCATCTGCCAGAAGGGCTCAGCACATCTGAATCTGGTTTTCTGTGTCCGGCCTGGGCTGCCTGGCGTGCTCTGCAGTGAGGGCTGCCTGGAGCACTGGCATCTGTGAGCCACACTGAGGTCCCAGCAGGCAGCCCTTGCTGCCCACGGCCTAACACTCAGCCCCATATGTGGGCTTCTGGCTTCAGAGTCCCTGACGGATGCGGGCTGATCCCAAGCCCTTCTGCTCTGCTCTGCTCTTCAGGGCTGGCCCACTTGGTGATGAGAGCTGGAACAGCATAAGGCCTGAGCCCAGTCCTGGCTCAAGTCATCAGAGGCCTCTTCCTCCTCTCCCCTCCCTCTCCATGACCTGCTCACACTTTGCAGCTGAGAAACCCATTTCGGGGTGTGGGCAGGGGAGTGGGGAGCTTCCCCAACCCTCCTGGAAGCAAACTAAACCCTGTGGGCTTAACTCACCCAACTCACCCTTGCCCTACCAGGTCCTGCCCTTCTCATCCCCTCTACCCTGGGCCCTGAGGCCAACCAGCTGCTCTCCTGGGAGACTTGCTCTCAGGAGTGGCTTTTGTTTCCTTTGGAACTGGCTTTGCTATGATGACTTTGCCCAGCTTCTCTCTCCTGTGCCTGAAACTCAGCTGACAGAAACAGCCCATACCTGGGTTCTGGGGATTGCCTCCCAGTCCACTCTCCTTATGAAGAGAATGCATGTTCTGAGGGGTGTCCCATTGCAGGGACAGGATTGTGCTATGGTCCTCTTGGACTGAGGTGATACTGAGGTGAGACAGTTGCTCAGAACACAGTAACCTACAATAGTGTTAAAGATGAGTCTCTGCTAACAGGAAGGTCACCAGCCACGTGGAGATTGAACCTCAGTGTGACCTTGTGTGACAAAGGGCAGCCTTTGTCTCTCTGTCCTTTCCGTGGTGTTAGGTATTGGGTGGAGGCGGCTGTGTGCCTGGACATGTGTTGCCCACAGCCACTGCCCCTAGACCATCATGTTTGAAATGGAAAGAGTCTGAAATGGAAAGGCCAGCAAACATTCTGGCAGGCTGATAGCCTAATTCACTTGCCTGGAAGTTACCTACAAAGCTGCATTGTTTTTTGAGTGTTCTGAAATGACCAACAAAGTCACCCTGAGCTGCTGCTTCTAGTCAGCCACATCCCATGGCCTAGTCCTTTAGCTAGCAGGAATTCGAAGTAAGAAAGTCCTGCTGAAAAGATTCCACCTTAAGAAAGCTGCCAGACACCCCCTTAAACATGCCATTTCCCAACATTCCAGGCTCTGTGTTGATCCTTATTTCCTGTCTTTCTCCCCCCTCCCCCCACCACGCACGTGCGCGCACATACACACACACTCCCTCTCTCTCCACCCCTCCTTTTCCAGTTTGCTTCCCTCTGGAGTCATTCCATGTTCTAGAACTGGAAAGCAGATGTGAGGAGAGTTTGGCCTCAGACACACACAGCCACTTCTGATTCCCTGCATTTCTCGGCCTGGAATCTAATTTTATCCATGTAACGCTGAAGGAACACAAAGAGGTTTGAAATGGGAGTGCCCAGGGCAGTGAGCAGACCTGACCATCAACCCCACGAGAGCCCTGTCCCCATATTGCTGCAATGCTCCCATAGAGAAACATCTGCAAGGGCTGGCCGGTCCATCTTTGTCTTTTCTCTGAGACGCAAGAGCACTGGGCTTGGCCAGATGCTGCCAATGGCCAGCAGAGTGCCCCTCTGCTCTTGCTTTACTTTTCTGAGCCTTGGTTGGCTTATATGTAAGGTTAGGAATTTTTACTAGTTGCTTCTATCCACCCCTAAAAATCTATGCTTCTGTCTGTACCCATTACCTCGGGAAGATGGACCAGCCCCCTGGCTTCCATTGATTTGTCTACTGATGCCTGCCTTCCAAACCCCAAACACAAGGATTGATAGGCCAGCTTGGGACAGCCTGCCTGCCCGTTCCCGTGACGTGAACATAAGAAGCCACCTCCTACCTGAACTTTCCAGCAAAGCTCAGACATATTGGTAGGAACTTCAGCTTTCACATCCCTTGACTCCCACCTCATGAGCACCCAAGAGCAAGGTCAGGTGGGGGAGGGGTGGTGTCAGACATCTGGCACAGAGGAGTCATTAGCAGTTCGAAAGAACCAGATTTGTCCCAGGGAGCAGACAGGGACACTGAAAACCAGACTCAGGGACACTGGCCAGCAACTGCCGGACCAGGAAGTAAGTTCTCAGTAGGTTTGGCTAGAAGCTCAACACCATGGGGAAAAAAGGGAAAAGCTTGTTTTAAGAAGTCATTGAATCATCTAAAATTAACTCACTCCTGTCATTTGCTTTTTGCTTTTGTTTATGGACTTTGGTTTTGTTTTTTATTTTGCCATACCAAATTTTAATCTTCTCCAGTTGCATGCATTAGTCTTTTCATTTTTGGTTTCTGCTTTTGGAGCCCCACTTAGAAAGACTTTCCCTAACCCCAAGATTATATAAATAGTCACAATTTTCATTTTTTATTTTGCTATATGGTGTGAGGCCAGGATCTCATTTGTTTTTCCTAATTAGATAATAAATAAGTTGTCCCCAAATCACTTACTGAATAATCTAGCCTTACCCCATTAATTTGATTAATTCTGTTTGTGGACTTATTCTGTGTCCTTGATCTGTCTGTCTGCCCCCCCACTCAGTCACTCTTCTTTATAGACATCTTCATTGGCCTCAGTGTATTTATCCTTTTGAATAAACTTGAACAGCTGCTGTATCCCTGTATTTTTCAAAAGAGAATAAACTGAGCTCCAGAGTAGTAACTTGTCCAAGGTACCATAGACTAGAACTCAGATTTCCTGACTCTCACCTATGGCACCTCTTGGCATCTATAGTAATGCTTTTCTTTCCCATGGAGCATTAACTATATATTCTACATCCACACCTTCTCATTTCTTATCTCTAGAATTACCCTCAACTGATGGTGAGGTAGGCAAGCCCCTGTGAAGTCTTCCATTTGGGCAACTCAAATTTTGAGGCATCTTCTAATCTCAAGGTCCCACATTTGCCTGACTTTGCAGAGAATGAGAGCCCACCCCAAGAGGGAGCAGACAAAGAAAAAGAAGTTGGAAAGAAAGAAACAGTGCCCTGGGTATCTTTTCTACCTGCCCTCAGGTCCAGTAGTGGGATTGCCAGTTCTCTTACAGGACATGGTAGAGAAGGTTCAGCCAGTCAAGGCCAGAGGCTGGCACCTGGTAGTGGGCATGAGGTCACTCATCAGTGCTCTAATTACAGCATGTCCCACTCTTCCCCATAGCTACCTGGGCAAAGAGGGCTGGGCACCAGCATCCTACCTGAAGAAGGCCAAAGATGACCTGCCGGCCCGGAAGAAGAATCTGGCAGGCCCAGTGGAGATCATCGGGAACATCATGGAGATCAGCAACCTGCTGAACAAGAAGACATCTGGAGACAAGGACACTCCACCAGCTGAAGGCGAGGGTTCCGAGGTCCCCATCGCCAAGAAGGAGATCAGCCTGCCCATCCTCTGCAATGCCTCCAACGGCAGCGCCCTGGGCATCCCCGAGAGGACTGTCTCCAGGCTGGCCCAGGGCTCTCCAGCCGTGGCCAGGATTGCCCCTCAGAGGGCCCAGATCAGTAAGAGCCTCACTGACCTCTGGGTCCCTCGCTGCAGAGCTCTCTATAGAGTGGACGTGGGGTGTCATATTTTTCCTGAGGTACAGACTGATCCCTGGCCCCAGCCTTATGCAATCAGCTGACCCTCCCTCTATCAAATTATATGATGCTAGTCACAAGAGTGGACAAGACAAGGAGTGTGGATGACTCAATCCCTCCCAACTCCTCCAGTGAAGATAACTCACATACATGAGTATATGAGTTCATAGTGTTCCCTCCTCTAGTGGAGAGCCACTTTACAGATTAATGTATTCCCAAAGCAAGAAGCATTGCTATAGTTTTCTCTGCAGTAAAGGCTTTATAAATCAAGAGAGATGATATATAGTTAATTATTTTTAAATTTCCCTGGGCTGTTTAATGTGGACCCCGTGTACAAGGCTGCTTTGTGGAGTGACAGCCTATAGAAGAACATCTTTCTGGGCCTTGCCTGCTCTTCTCTTTCACCTTCCAGTTACCAGAAACCTATAGGACTTGGGAACAGGACTTCATCGTTCCCCACAAGCAAATTTTCAACATGGCGTTCTTAAACTTATGGGGAAGCCTGGCTCTCGGTGCCCCCTAGATGTCCATCTCCATCCGTCTCTGGCCCAGCAGTGGCTTTGGTTGAAGGTTAAACTGTTCTATATTATGGGGATAGGGAGACCAGCTTCTTTTTGTGCCTTCAGAAAAAAAAAGCCCAGCCCTTCTTAAAATCTGGGGGAAAGCTGTTTTTGTTTAGCTCTGGACTCTCATGCCTGAAACCTTTTAGGCAGGCACGTGGCAAATATTTATCAGGTACATACTCTGACCTCACATTGTACTAGCTTTGAAGGACTTAGTAGTGAGCAAAAAATAGTCATGGTCCCTGCTCCTAACTTTGAAAATCTGATAAAGCGATATACTCTTCCTGAAAAATGTCTTTTGTCCAGACATTTTAAAATGTGCATATAATTTTAGAAGGTTCATGGATCTCCCAAAGCACAGCCAGGGAACCTTAAAGGTTTGTGGTTGCTGATTGAAAAAGCCCAACTATAGTCCCTGTAGTGACCTAGAGAGTCGAGGTCCTTCATAAACAGAATGAAAGCACGAACTTTCAGGGACTAGGGGTTGGTCACACCTAGGGAAGGCAGGGCTGGGCACTGTTGCCATTGCTGACTGGGATTTCTGAAGCTATGTTTCTTCTAGGCTCCCCAAACCTAAGGACAAGGCCCCCACCGCGCAGAGAATCCAGCCTGGTATGTGTACTAATTGTCTTTTCCCTTTCTCATTCCTTTTCTGGGGGTGCACTGTAACAGCGCCACAATTAATTGACTGTCTCGCTGCTGTAACTGTTGGTCCAGAGGTTTCCAGGTCACTGCTGGGGCTTCTAGCTTTGTGGGGGTGGTGGCAGGGAAGGAAGCCTGCAGACCCCAGCCTTTCTGGGGCCTGGCTGGACGGTTTATAATTTGGAAACCCACTGCACTGCAAAACTAAATAAATCCATCCCTAGCCACTGCACTGGCAGACATACACATTTAGACTGGCCAGCAAGAGTGTCCAGGCAGGGTATTGCCAGGGGCTGGAAACAGGACTGCTGTCCATGCTAACCTGGAGGCATTTCAACTCTGCCTTGCTCTGCCTGGCAGATGTAGCTCGATGCCAGAGCTGGAAGGGCAGAGGGCCAACTAGCAGGTGGCTTCCAGGAGAGGGCTATGGCAAGGACTGGCTCATACAGAGTCTAACACTCTGGGGTCCCGGGCTCCTGTGGGTGGGGTTTCCTGGTGTTCAGACCCACAGGCAGACAGACGTACACCCAAGGGCTAGGGCTTGGGGTGGCAGCAATGTTGGTGGCAGGACGGGAGCACTAGAACAGGGAACTGCTGTCAGGGCCATTGGGGTACAGTGGAAAGAAAGGGGCCTCAAGTTTGCCAGGCATGGATTCATATTCCACTTCTAACACTAAGGAACAGCGAGACCCTAGGCAAGCCTCAATTTCCTTATCTGTAAAATGGAAACAGTAGCAGCCATCTCCTAGGGCTGTTGTAGGGGTTAAATGAGATGATGTATGTATAGAGGGCTACACTGGGTGCAGGAGAGGGGATAGTAGTAGTGCCTGGAGGAATAGACCTTCCACAAACATACGATGTTCGAAGATGCAGCCCCTGGAGATGAGCCCTCCTTGCCCTGGTCCACGGCCCCAGTAGAGTTCTCTTTTTCCCTTTCCCCTTGAGTTTTACATGGCTAAACAATGAGTTCTCCTTTTCTCCCAGCTAGTTGTTTTCAGGCAGACTTGATTTTGGCAAGATTGGGGTAATTCCTTCCACACTCACCCAATGCAGGGATTGCTGAGGCAGGGCTACTGTTTCCAGTTAGGCCCAGGTGAATCCTGCCCATCCAGGGTTCCAGGCTGGGCCAGGCTGGGGCCATGTCTTCTCACAGGCACAGCTACAGGGCCAGGCATCAATGGGGGCATAGAAAGCTGGCTAATTCACACCCCGTCCCTCAAAACCAGCTTAATCCCCCCACCGTCTGACTCTGACCCAAGGCAGCTCAGGTTTGACTGGCAGGCTTAGGACATGCTGAACACTAAAGGACAAAGAAGATGGAGGAATTCAGAAGCGTGCCAGGAAGAGCATTCACCTTTGGCTTGTTTTCATCGAGCTCTTCTTGTGCCCTGGCACTGGGCCAGAAGTCATGTCCATTCTCTCTCTTAATCCCCTTACTGCTCCTGTTATTAGTTCCATTTTACAGATGAGGAAACTGAGGCTCAGAGAAGTCAAGGGCCACACAGCAGAGCTATGAATTGCTGAGCTGGGATTGGAGCTTGCATCTCTCTAGTTCCAAGGCAGAGGTCTTCCAAGCTCTTCATGCTATATCACAGCTGCTTCCCTCTCCCCCTTACTTTTTAAAAAATTTTTTATTTTAACCCTTTTATAGAAGAGAACAATACAGGGAGTAATGGGAAGGTGTGAAGTCCACTTTGGCCAAAATAGAGACTGTGGGTGAAACTAGAATGTACAGTCCATGAGGGTTGGGTTTGTCCATTTGATTCACTGCTGGATACTTGATGCCTTAGAACAGTGTCTGTCTGGCACCCAGTAGGCCTGTAGTAAATGTTTTCGAAAGGAATGAGGCTGGCAAACCATGGGCTGCGGCCAAACTGTAAACGTCCTTGAATGTCATGTTTAGAAATTGATGTGCCAACGTCTAAAAAACATTTAGGCCTTCCAGTGGGTTCCACCCTTCCCTGCCCACAGAAATAAACGATCCAAGTTTTATTCAGCATTTGCCTTGCCGTTTGGCATTGTCGTGATGACTGACCCAGAGCTCTTCTCAGCCAGCCCTGCTGCCCCCCTACACTCCCACCCACCCGTAGAGATGGGTGCGCTGCCTTGCCCTGCCTGTGCTGCCAGACGTCACACCTGCAGCCCCTCACGCTTAGCCTTAAGGATGGTGGCTCTCCCCTCCCACGGGGCAGTGTGCATGGGCTTTGTTACAGCTGTTCCTCTATTTTTTAATTTTCATTTTGGGCCCCAGCTGTTGAGGCATCTGGAAACTGGGCTTTCAGAGATGTAAAAAAAACAGTTGCCATCTAGTCAGCCCTGACTCATGGCCACCACATGGGTGTCAGAGTAGAACTGTGCTCCACAGGGTTTTCAGTGGCTGATTTTTCTTTTTTCTTTTTTTTTCCCCCCAGCAGTAGATTGCCAGGCCTTTCTTCCAAGGCACTTCTGGGTGGACTCAAACCTCCCACCTTTCCATTAGAAGCTGAGAGTGTTAACCATTTGCACCACCCACGGGTTCCTCAGAAATGTAAGGGCAGGAACTACTGAGTTAATAATGATTGTTCTGCTATCTCAGACAAGTCTCGGGTGAATCCTAAGTATTATTAGAAAGCCTCGTCAGAGTGCAATCTCTTGGGCATATTCAGTACCCTCATGCTCAGGTGACAGAGACAGCCTGAGGCCAGCTGCTGTCCAGTCTCATTCACCTCCTGAAGACTGAGCAGGACCAGTCCCTTGCCTTGTTGCTGTCCTGATCAGGAGGGTTTTTGCTCACTGGGTCCTTCTCTGTTAGGGGTTCCAACTACCGAAGCCACCAGAGCCCCCTTCTGTTGAAGTGGAGTACTACACCATTGCCGAATTCCAGTCATGCATTTCTGATGGCATCAGCTTTCGGGGCGGACAGAAGGCAGAGGTAAGCTCTGGGCTGTGAGGCTGAGTGTTTCAGTTTGTAGCGGTCAAGGCCTACCACATTTGTCATTTTATGTCATGCCAGCAGCATTCCTGGGGGGTGGGTAGGAAAGGTGAAGAAACGAGACCCACAGGGATGCAGATTTGCCTAAAGCTAGTAAGCACCACAGCCAGGACTAGAACCACTAGAACCCAGGACTCACGTCTTCACCTGGTGTTCCCCGTGTGTCCCATGTGCTTCCCTCACAGCAGTGTTTCCCAGTGTCTTACAGGAGCTGGTAACGGGCATACCTTGAAATAAAGGGGTCTGTGGTCAGCACAGTGGTTAAGAGTACAGTTGCTAACCAAAACGTTGGCAGTTCGAATCCACCAGCTGCTCCTTGGAAACTCTATGGGGCAGTTCTACTCTGTCCTGTAGGGTCACTGTGAGTCAGAATCGACTCAGTGGCAATGTGTTTGGTGGTCACATGAATTTGAAGGACAGTAGATTAAACAAAACCCAGCCAGTTTTTTTTGTTTTGGTTGCAGAATTTCTCAGAGCCTATGACATGGTGACGTGCACTGTGAATCTCTGAGGGGACCAGAGTAGGCAGCACTCCCAGACCCACATGGCCCCAGGAGCAGCCCAGGCCAGGATTCTGTACAACCCACATTAGGAAGTGCTGTTGTTGGGATAATGGGGTCCAGGCAGATGGAGTAAGATACAGGGAACCTGCCATCTGGTCACATCCACACCACAGGCACCTTCTCCCCCTAGGCTTTGTTTTTCTCTGCAAATTGGGTAATGGGCCCCATGATGCCTTTCCCACCATCTCCTAACATTTCTGAAACTCTGCTTTGTGGCTGCCTGATCATGGCATTCCAGGGGACAGAGAAGATCTGTGACTGGGACATTTCCCTTGAGTGGCTTTGTGTAGTCATGGAGTGAAATCCAGTCAGTAGCTGTGAAACCAGTGGATTCATTGGGCAGGTTCTTCCTACTGAAGGAGTGATGTCTCCAGTGCGAATGTTTGAAATCACATGTCTGGAACTTAATTTCCAAGACAAATTATTCTCTCTATGATTTCTGGAAGAACCTACCAAAGGTTCAGAATGTAGCAGAACTGTCTTATGTAGGATCCAGCCGAGCTCAAGTTTAGGATGGGATATAGGACCAAAGAAAAGAAGAGGAGGAAGTCTTTCTTTTCTTGTGGGAGCTGCAGAGTGCTGATCTCAGGCAGAGTTTGCCTTTGACATTCTCTATCCTCCCTTCCTTCCTTGCCCTTCTGGCCATGGTGCCAATGTTTTCATGCTGTCCTTCCCCTTCCCTGGGACCTCTTCCTCTAGGTGTCACATGATCCAAAATTATCTTCCCTATATGTTCTCCAGTTCAAAGGAACCCTAGCCCAACCAGTAACCACACTCCTGGTCTTTAACCAATCTCAAAAGAATCGTCTTGAACCAGTTTATACTAATGTAGAAATGACTGATAGCCCTGCATCCTTCATACAGGAAACCATTCAGACGAAAACAATCCCTTCAGCTGGTGGGATTGGACGCAAAGTGAAATGACCACAGGCAGTAGGGGCAGTCAGGAGGTGCTCTAGGGGAGGCTCTGGCCTTGGGTCTTTACCTCCCAGTTCAGCTCACCTGCATCTTCCCATCCTCTTCTGCCCCAAGAGACCCTTTCAAAGTTCTGAACTTTGCTCTAAGGAGGACGTAGCACAGTATTGGGGGTGGGAGGAGGACAGGAGCAGTGGAATGGCAGGATTTTGTACATGTGGGTCCTCGGTGAACTGGGTCTTACAGGGTTAGGCTTCTAAGTGCTGTAGCTTAGGGGGAGACGAGAATGGAGGGTCTGCAGAGGCGACCAGCTTGACTTGGAGGACCAAGGGAAAGAGACTTGGAGGGACCTCCCTTACAACATGAGATGATAGACACCTGGGTTTGAATTCTGGCCTCACTACTTACTGCAGAGGCTCCTGGACAGCGTCCTTGGTGGCTCACGTTGGTCATCTGTAAAGTAGAGATAATGTCTCCTAGAACCAAAGCATAACACGCCTAGCCTGGCACATCGCAGTATCCCAGTGACCTGTCACCCTCTTCCCCCTAGGTCATTGATAAGAACTCGGGCGGCTGGTGGTACGTGCAGATCGGTGAGAAGGAGGGCTGGGCCCCCGCGTCCTACATTGACAAGCGTAAGAAGCCCAACCTGAACCGCCGCACGAGCACACTGACCCGGCCCAAGGTACCCCCACCAGCTCCCCCCAGCAAGCCCAAGGAGGCCGAGGAGGGGCCGGCGGGTGCCAGCGAGAGCCAGGACTCCCCACGGAAGCTCAAGTACGAGGAGCCTGAGTATGACATCCCTGCCTTTGGCTTCGACTCTGAGCCAGAGCTGAGTGAGGAGCCCACGGAGGACAGCGGCTCGGGGGACAGGCGGCCCACCCAGCCCCACAAGCCCTCACCGGCCTCGTCACTGCAGCGGGCCCGCTTCAAGGTGGGCGAGTCTTCGGAGGACGTGGCCCTGGAAGAGGAGACCATCTATGAGAATGAGGGCTTCCGGCCATTTGCAGAGGATGCCCTGTCAGCAAGAGGCTCCTCTGGGGACAGTGACTCCCCGGGTGGCTCCTTGCTGTCCCTTGCCAGGAAAAATTCCCCCAAGTCTGGCTCCCCCAAGTCCTCGTCACTTCTAAAGCTCAAGGCAGAGAAGAATGCCCAGGCCGAGCTGGGGAAGAACCACTCCTCAGCCTCCTTCTCCTCCTCCATCACCATCAACACCACCTGCTCCTCCTCCTCGTCCTCCTCCTCCTCGTCCTCCTTGTCCAAGAACAGTGGCGACCTGAAGCCCCGTTCTGCCTCGGACGCTGGCATCCGCGGCACTCCTAAAGTTGGGGCACGGAAAGACGCTGACCTGAAAGCTGGCCTGTCCTCCTGTGCCCGGGCCAAGCCGTCAGTCCGGCCCAAGCCCTTCCTGAACCGAGCAGAGTCCCAGAGCCAGGAGAAGATGGACATCAGCACTTTACGGCGCCAGCTGAGGCCCACAGGCCAACTCCGGGGAGGCCTCAGGGGCTCCAAGAGTGAGGATTCAGAGCTGCCCCCGATCCTGGCTTTGGAGGGTCCCAGTGAGGGGGTGAGGAGGGGCTCAGCTGACCTCATCACCCTCCCCATTGCCACCCCGCCATGTCCCACCAAGAAGGAGCGGGAAGGGCCGGCCACCTCCTACATGACATGCAGTGCCTACCAGAAGGTGCAGGACTCAGAGATCAGCTTCCCCGCAGGCGTGGAGGTGCAAGTGCTTGAGAAGTTGGAAAGTGGATGGTGGTACGTGAGGTTTGGGGAGCTGGAGGGCTGGGCCCCTTCCCACTATCTGGTGCTTGGTGAGAACGAGCAACCTGAGCCCTCTGGCAACGAGTCAGACACAGTAACCACCAAGAGCAAGCAGAACGAGGGCAAGTCAGACAGCTTGGAAAAGATCGAGAAGCGGGTCCAGGCGCTGAACACCGTCAACCAGAGCAAGAGGACCACGCCGCCCATCCCCTCCAAGCCACCCGGGAGCTTCGGCAAGACCTCTGGTGCCGGGGCCGTGAAGATGCGGAATGGCGTGCGGCAAGCAGCGGTGAGGCCTCAGTCAGTGTTCGTCTCCCCACCGCCCAAGGACAACAACCTGTCCTGTGCCCTGCGGCGGAATGAGTCCCTCACGGCCACTGACAGCCTCCGAGGTGTCCGCCGGAACTCCTCCTTCAGCACCGCCCGCTCAGCTGCCGCAGAGGCCAAGGGCCGCCTTGCCGAGCGGGCTGCCAGCCAGGGCTCAGATACACCACTGCTGCCCACCCAGCGCAACGGCATCCCCCTGTCCCCCGTGCGCCCCAAACCCATCGAGAAGTCCCAGTTCATCCATAACAACCTCAAAGACGTGTACATCTCTATTGCAGACTACGAGGGGGATGAGGAGACAGCAGGCTTCCAGGAGGGAGTGTCCATGGAGGTTCTGGAGAGGAACCCCAATGGCTGGTGGTACTGCCAGATCCTGGATGGGGTGAAGCCCTTCAAAGGCTGGGTACCTTCCAACTACCTTGAGAAAAAGAACTGAGGGCCTCAGTGCACTGCTGTAGCCACCCCGGTGGGTGAGCAGTGCAACAAAAGGGGAAGCGGGGCGGGGGGGACAACATTAAACCCTGCAGATGTGTGGCCTCAAAGATGCCCCCTCCAGGCTGTGACCCCAGCCAGAAGATGGGGCATGACAGGGGCCCACACTGGGCAGGGAAGGGAACAGGTGGGAATCATGGGCTGGGCCCCAAGGAGAGAATGCTGAGACCCACGTGTACCTCGGTGACTTCGCTGATGGATTACACGCCATGTGCGAAACCCCCACCTGTTCCTTGGCTGCCAATCTGGAACAGAGGTGGCCCAGGTGGCCCCCCTACCCCACGCCCTGCCCTGTTTGGCCCAGCTTCACTTGTTGGCGTCTGGACTGCCGGAGGTAGCCCTTGGATCGTCCTCATCTGCGTCTCCTAAACTGTGCAGGGTTTCCCAGGAATTGCCATCTCCGCCATGGGTATGTCAAGATACCACTGGCTCGGGGGCATGGAGGCTCTCCTGTGAGCTCAGCCTGCCCCTGGGCCAGGCCACTGTCAGTGTGTATTAGCTGAAGAAAAAGTTGTTGCCCTTTCTTTGCAGTCCGCACCCCGGCCCTCGGTGGGGCCCCCACGGAGGACACTTTTGGCACCAGAGTTTACAGAGGGAGTGGAGCCCTCGGTCTGCTCACAGTCTGCAGACTTGATTTTGGATATTTCCGGGTGGACAGTTCCTTCACATGTTTTGGGAGAGGTTTATTGATTTGGAGCTTATATGTTAGGCCGTTGGTTTTGGTCTTATTTTAGGGGTGGTTTGGGGGCCTACGGGTGGTCACACTGGGAAAAGGGTGGGTCGTGGTTGGGGCTTTTCAGTTGTACTCTCGTGGGGGCTGTTTTGTTTGTTTGGTTTTAATGTTATTCCACCTCCACAAGCCAGAGTCATTGGTTTGGTTTCCACTGTGTGGACAGTGTGGGAGCACGGCGCTCGCCAGAGGGGCGTGGGGCTTGACAGGCCCGGATCCCAGACCTGGCGAAGCAGAGACACTGCTCTCCTGGTTCTTGCCCAGCCTTGGTGGGGCAAAAACCCTCCCTGGGAGGGAGGAGGATGTTGTTCAGGGGCCAGACTTTTAAGTGAGAAGGCACCCCTGGGCTGCTGGGCAACTGCCGCTCTGAGTATGCACTGCTGCCCGAACAGGTCTGGAAGCCGGGTGCGGAGAGCAACTGTCGTGGCCACCCTGGGCTGAGGAGTCCAACTGGCCCTCTAGGCCAGGCTGGAGCCAACACCAGCAGCCACCCCTTTCGGCCTGCTGGCGAAGCCACAGGTGCCCAAGAAGGATTCCCGAGCCAAGAGCCAACCTGGTCTTCCCAAGGGGCAGTGCCCCAGTGAAGAGAGAAACTAAAGAATAAAGTTCCCAGCAGGTCCCATGTTGACTTTGGGTTGTGTTTTTGAATTGATGACGTTCCGGAGGGGACACTCCAGAAGCTGCACTGGCTTCCCAAGGATTCCCCTTTGCTGGGAGTGGATTTCCACACGTGCCTTTGACTTCAGACAGGGCAGGCTTCACAGCCAAGACTCAGCTGCCAGAATTCCTGGATTAAGGGTTGGTGTTTTCTACAAAGGAGGAAAGGCCCTCCCTCCACCCCTACTCCTTGGCCCGAAGACAAGCACGGGACCCAGAGTCTCTGTGCCTTCCAGGCCCCACCTGTCCTCTCAGACCCCAGAGGCCTTGCCTGTGATCTCCCACATGCCCTCGCCCCTCGTCATACACTGATGCCCGGCAGCTATAGCGAACTGCTCGTGTTCTCTGTCGAAGGGCCATGGTGAGATTGTTTGGTTTTGTTTGTGAGTTTGTTTAAAAATTGAAACTAGTTATTTTCTTCTGCTGGACAGTATTAAATAGAGCCGGATGTTGAGTTAATCTGCTAGATTGCAGTACTAATGGTAGCGGTGTAGTGTCTTTATAGTAATATTATTTTGACTTGGTTGAACAATAATGATAAAGAAGTGGTTCATTACTTTTTAATTAATGCACTTTAGTAAGATAGAATGGAAAGAAACCCAAAGAGCAAAGTGCATTACTTAAAGATGCAGTATATACTTCTCATTTTTAAACAGCACATATTTATTAAAAGAAAAAAAAGTAATTTATGATTATTTAAAGTAAAATTTAAAAGTAGAGTGACTGTTGGGTTAAAGGACCTTCCGCGTAGCTATCTTCCAGGGGGAGGGCCCTGGCGGCCTCGCTCCTCAAATGTCTGCACTGAGCCAGTTCGATCATTAGTGCACCAGCCAGGCCAGGGAGGGGTGCAGGACGTCTGCCAAGCACAGAGCATCTCAGTCGGACTGGACCACATGATGCCCGGAGCCTGCCTGCCCTGCCCCTCCTCTGCCCTGTGGGGCTCTCCACCACCCATGAAGCCTGCGTTCACCTGGCCCCCCAAGGACCCTCTCCATCCTCAGTGCTCTAAGTGATAGTCATTAAAAGGCAGGACTGGACAGGACCTCGAAGGTCACTCCATCCCTTCCTCTCCTGTTACTGCAGCCCAATGACAGGAAATGACTTGCCCAGAGTCACACAGCTACTTAAAGGCAAACCTCCCCACTGCATAAATCTTTGCGCACCCCCACCTCCCACCCTCTTCATAGTTGATTGTGTGGTCATCGTGTTTACATCGTGACACCCAGCCCTAAGGATGGCTGGGAGTTGCTCAGGCATCCGGGATAAGTGGGGAATGCTGCCACCTGGTGACAGCATGTAGATTTGGGCGGTAAACAGGGATTGCCATGCCCCAGTCTTCGCGCCTCCCTCCCTCACTACACCCCCTAACTCACAGCACAGCACACACCCTGCCAACCCAAAGAGAATATTAATACTTGAAGCGAGAAGGGCGTGTACCAGTCCCCCAGATACAGCATGGCCAGGGGATGCCAAGCCCTGTGCCCCTGACTTCTAGCCCTACTCAGGGCAGAAGGACCTTTCCCTAGAGCTACTGAGCTGCTTTGTGATGTAGGAGGGTACTGCCGGCAGCTGGTGGAGGAGGGAGGGGGCCTGCGGTTCTGACCCATCTGGAGGAAGACCAGATCGGACTCGAAAAGGAAAATAAAAATGAAATCTCAGCAGTGTCCAAACCTAGTTTCCCATTAGTTGCAATTGAAAATGTGAAATGACATTGTATTGCTGTATACTGCAACTTTAATCCTAATGAGCCCTTCTGAGGTCATTATTGAGGTTCATATAATGCCCGAAGATGCATTATCTGGTGCTTTGTTTTTCTTTCAGTTTAAAGATCTTTTCTTTTTACTACGAGGGAAAAAAAAAAATCTTCATCTCTCTCCCACCTCGTCCCTCTTTGTAACAGCTGGCCTGGCTGGGCTGCCTGACACCCCCCCATGCTGTTCCCACCAGGACGTGGCACCTTGGGGACAGCCCCTGAGCAACAGGTGGGCCATCTGACTTGGGGAGTTTTCCCAGAGCCCACCCTGCCCCGCCCCAGCCTAGGCCCAAAGCCTTCTCTTTCTTCCTCCTGGAGTCTCCATCTTGACGAAGGCATTATATAGAATCATTTTAATCACTTTCAGATGTTAGAGCAGCATATTTTACTGGCCTTTATATCCATCGCTTTCCTCAGCAAGGCATGTTACTACTTTTATCAACTAAGGAAAAAGACAAGGGAATTTTGGTCAAGCATTATTTTCATATTACTAATATTTGCAGAGTAGGCGTAGAACTATTTAAGTTTAGACCTTGGTTTGGTAGTTTGTTTTGTTTTTAAGGAAAAAAAAAAAGATAAAAATAACCCCTACTATTCCTTTTTTTTTTTTTTTTTGTATTTAACATATTATTTCTTTAAGGTTATTCATTTCCCCGCCCCCCCCAAAATACTTTGCATTCTCAATCGAAAAATGAAAACAATCTGAGAGACAGGAAAAGTGCAATATTATCAAGAAGGATGCCAGGGCTTGTTGGGAACAGCGGAGGAAGGCAGGAGGAGGGGCTGCTGGGAAGGATTATAACTGGAGCAGATGCACGGGCTAGTGGATTTTGATCTCTTTCCCCTCTTCCCCTCTCCTCCTTCCCTGACAAGATGGTAGGGGTTCCCACCAGAAGGTGGCCCCATTTTCTGTTGGGTGTCATCCACTCTGAGAAAGGGGTTCAGGGAAGTAGCATGGGACTTCTGGACCTCCCGGGGCCCCAGCCCCAGGCAGAGCGAGGACATCCAGGAACTGATGCTTGTTTTCATTTCAGCTTCACAGCCAGCTGCTTAGAAAGATCTGTCTCAAATTTACTCCCAGCAGCCCTCTCTTGCCCCAGTCTCCTAATATTTGGACCATGAACCTTTCGATATATCTTTAAAAAATCTTTCTAAAACTAAGTAACCTCAGTTCAGTTTATGGGCAGGCACCCTAGATGTAACCAGATTCTCTCGGGGGAGGGTAGGAGACTTGAGCCCTACATACCCCAGTGAGACACTGGCTCCCACAGGCCTGCAGGAGGGCCTGGTGCTGAGCCTGGGCCGCCAATCATCTCAATGACTTCTGCCTGAGGAGTGAGCCCTGCTGCCTCTGCCCAACCCCCCAGACAGTCCCCAGAAGGCCCTGGAGAAGTCTGCTCAGGTACCTCTGCAGACAGAACTTCCCACAACAGGTACCAAGCCGGCCTCCCTCCTTGGCACTGGTCGAGAAAGCAGCAGGATGGGAAGTCTCCTCTGGGTCCCCGCCCTTGGAGCTGTGTCCCTCAGGGCAACCGGGGCATCCTTGTCAGCTTGTCCCTTCCACTTCCAGTACTGTACGCTTGCTGCTCCAACCCCTCTATTTGGTGAACTTCTGTACAGATTCGGATCTGTATGCCCAGAGCAAAACCGTTCCTCTGTGTGGGTCTCTCTCCTTGGAGTACGAACATCTATATATCCAGTCTTTGAGAATCTCGATGCAGAGCTCTCTGGAAAGAGAACCATCCACATCGCTAAAGAATTACGATTCCCTCACTTTTTTGAGGGCTGTGTGTTGTGTATATGTATGTGTGCATGTGCATGTGTGCACACACACAGGCACGTTTGTATGAGTTGGTAATTTCCCACTTGAACTAAATAATACGGGGTTAGAGGAAAAAACACCGGGCAAGCTGTCTCCACTGAACGAGTCCTTGGCATTGGGCAGGTCCCATGGGACTCACAGCTTCTGGCATCGAGTGTGTGTGATTTGCACACATAATTCTGGCTGGAGAGTGCAATGTGGTTTTTTTTTTTTTTTTTTTTGGGTAATTATTTTATTAAGTATTTAGTTGGAAACTTCACACTGGCATTAACAGATCTAGCAGAAGCAGCCTAGGCCATTGTCCCTGGCTCCAAAATGAAGATGTGGAAAAGAGATGCCATTGGGTGTGGGAGTGCTGAGATGTTTCAGTTGGGTCACACACCTGCAGATGTGTTCTCTAGCAGGCCAACTGCCACCCGTTACTGTACATGTCATCAGTGTGATGATCCCCATAAAGTAAAAGAGCTCTGGCCTCTTGGTTCTAGTATTTCCAAGACTGGGGCAGGCTAGTCAGGACAAGAACTTGCTCATGTAAGCCCAGCAAGACCCATGCCTGTGTATACATAAACACTAATCTGTAGACCATGGGGCCAGCCAGATATTTAATGGAAATACCATGGAGGGCCCCCATTTGGACCCTACTAAACATTTTGGCTAAACCATCATCCCTGTTTGGTGCAGCCTCATGCCTGTGGTTCCCAAGCTCTGTGGTCAGAGCCAGTGAGAGGACAGGATCAGTAACCTACAGCCTCATTTCAGGAAAAACAGCTCACTGATTTTAGTTAGCTTCCCTCCTGCTTTGTCATGCCACACCTGGGTGTCCCGGCCTGAAGTTGAGCATGTTGGCACATGTAGGCCCTAGACTGGGTGGAGGGCTCTACCTTCCAAGGCCTTGATCCAAGGTTGGAATTACCGTGCAACGCTCGCACAATCTTTAATCTTGAGTTTGCACTTGACCTTGACAATCAGTCCTCTCCCCCATCCGAATCCTAGAACTTAGTGGCCTTAGGGAATGGGGTCCCATGTTGATGGTCCCAGTCATGTTCCCAGTTCCATCCTGGCTAATGGGCTGGGCTTCCTTAAGAGAGGAAAGTTTGCTGTTTCAGAGCAAAGGGTTGATTGAGCACGTTGGAGGTGAGCAAGAGGCATGTCAGTGAGATGAGTGTGTGGATGTTTGGGGTGGCTGGGGCTTACTGTCCCTTCACTGGGAAGGAGAGTTCCAGAAGAGGTTGTGTTCTAGGCAGGAAAGAGGAGGTGTGAGAAGGCTTGGAGGTTTGGAATTTCGAGTTTTGTCTTTGCTAAGAAGGAATAAGTCAATTCTGAGTGTCTGAGGAAGGAGAAGAGAGCAGATGGATTGGAATTTAGTAATTCAACACCCAGGGGTCCAGCCAGAGCAGGTTGGAAAAGCTCCCAAATTTGGCCAAATAATCAGCTAGCCAGAGAAACCTATTACTCACTGGGCCACAACCTGGGTCCTCAATGGATGGCCATTGATTTACATAGTGGAGAGGGCCAGTCAGCAGCAACACAACAAACTTTATCAGAGTTTGCAGACCCTAGCTCGAGAACATATATCCGTCTCCCAGGTTCCCAGCTGGTTTTCCCTACCCATTCACTGTCCAATCCAGAGCCAGACTCTCAAAGTTGTTTGAATCAATCAGAGACCCAGTCACCATGATGCAGAAGAGACCCAACATCCTCAGACTGGAACCTCAGGGCCCAGGCTCCATCAGACAGATGTGGGAGGAAGGCAACCTCATTTGTTCTTCTCTTGGTACCAGCTATTCTCAAGGTTGATACTTGGGGTTCATCAGTGTGCTGAGCCTGCCTCCCTGGTGTGAATTAGAAGACCAGGTGAAATGCAGACTCATCCTTGGGCATACCCTTTCCTTTTCCAGTGGCGTATAATCAAGGCACACTGTTCTTAAGAGTTTTGTTTTGGAGAAAGAAGTATAAATGGAGCCACTATTCTTGAATTTATAACTTCTTAGCTCTGTAACAGATTTTCTTTAATCCAGGACACAGGATAGGAAATGGGCTTCACTGCCAGTTACCAAGCGATCTGCAGAAAGGTGGGCTTCTGAGCAAGGCAGGTGTGAGTGGCAGGTCCCTGAAGCATGGGTATGTGGACTGCATGGCTGGATGTGAACTAGTGAATGTTTCTGGGGCTCCAAAACTTTGAGTAATTCCTCACGGTGTCCACTAAACCCCTCCCAGCTCCTAGTAGCTCAGCGTGGTCAGAATGGACCAGAGCGCCATGAGGTCAGGAGGAGCCCTACCTCCAGGGTGTTCCCTCTCCCCCGTCAGCAGGGAAACTGGAGAAAAGGGCATTGGGTTCAGTGTGGTCAATTTGAGTGCTAAAAAATTCCTAGGACCAATGGTGGTGCTAAACTATCTCCATGTTTCTAATACTTCTAACAGTGTTTCGTTTTGTTATTTTTAAATTGTTCTCATCACAAAAATGCAGCATCCTTGGGGAAGGGACCAAGCCCCTTGGCCTGCCACTTTCCAGGTATCCTTTACCATTTTGATGGGACTCTTTGGTCTGCAGAAAATGCTCTGTCTTGGCATGCTTCTAGACTGTAAGATTTGGGTTGTTTTGTTTTATATTTTGTTTATGTTTACATGCATCTTATATTTCCCTGAAAACTAAATAAAGTTTTTGGCCTTTTTAACTGAACAGAATCACTTCTTAATTCTCCCTGCTGCCAGGAAATCCATCCAACTGAACAGCAAAAGCCCCATTACCCCAAATGCGGCATGAACCCCAGGCTCCTGGGCCTGCTAAGAGGATGGGGCTTTTGCTGGGGGAAAGGAGGGTGGGTAAGTCCCCACTGTTTTTGGTGAGAATCATGTTCAAGATCCTCCAGCCCCTTCTCCTCCTTCAGGAGGAGGTTCTCTGGGCAAAGCTTTCAGAGATGCAGGCCTAGCTGGCCCCTCACCTTGGACCACCTGACCCTTACCTACTTTTGCTGGACTCCAGGAAGCAGGGCTAGGTGGTTCTGGTGGAGGCAGCATCCATGGCTGCTCAAGTCTAGGCAGAAGCTGAGCAGCCAGAGGATCCTTTGTTGGGGCGGGGGAGGGGGGGTGCCCCATCTGCCTCAGAGGCCTGGCCCCATCAAATGAGAGATTCCTCCACTGCCTAGAATTGTTGCCAGGGGCCTACATTCTCCAGAAAATTTCCCTAAAGGTTTCTGCCCGGATGTCTCCCTCTTCCCCAGCTGTGCCACCCATATGGTATAGGCCTCTGCACCGACCAGTGGGGATGCAGCTGAGCTCCCAGCCAGCAGCGGGGATCCAAGCCTGGGGACAGTGATGGGTAGGCCCTACACCGGGGAGCTCAGCACAGCTCCTGCTGACCTGAGTGGGGGACCTGCCATCCCTCCACTGGCCCCTAGGTGGCACTGCCCACCCCGCAAGGGCTGTGAGCCAGGTCTGGGCACTGCTCAGCCTTCAGAGGAAGCTGAGGTCCTCATAGGCTCTGCTGCTCTTGCTCCACCACACCCTGCTCCCCAACAGCCCAGGGTACAGAGGCCATCTGAAAGGCAGTGGCTTCTCCCCTTCAACATGCAACAAGGCTCACCTGGCATTCTGGTCCCTGCTGTGCCTGTCCAAATGCCAGGTCATGCTCCAGCACCCCCAACCCAGGGAGGCTTCCTGATTGTTCTTTGGGGGGGGGGCCCTCAGAAACCCACAATTATCCCCGAGGCCAGGCCCATGCCTCTAGCTGACTTCCATCTCTCACGCACGCACGCACACACACACCACACCACACACACACACACACCACACACACACCACACACACACACCACAACCACACCCACACCCACACCCACACCCACACCCACACACACACCACACCCACAAAACGCAGCCCTCAGGCCAGTACGAAATCACCTTTATTCACAATCACAGAGACCAGAGTTCACAAAGGGAGGCAGGGCTGCTCCCCCTCCCCTCCCCACACTAACAGAGAAACAATGGGATGCATGGCTTCCTCTTCCTAACCCTCAGGCCACAAAGTCCCTGACTTTGAGACCCTTCTTTGCCTCTGAGGTGAGACCCCTGGCCAAATGGGGCCACTACCCAGTACTCTCCTGTGGCACCACACCACTGCAGCCTCTCTCCAAAGAACTCCCCAGAGTCATGCAGTCTGCCCGAGACCCCCACAACCATTTTACAGAAGTGGAAGCTGAGGCTCGGAGGGGCTCTGACCTGGCCAGGGCCACGCAAGTGGTCAGTGGCCAGGACCAGAGTCCTAGTGGCCTCACCACCGGCCCCATGCTCTGCCTATCACAGGGAGCAGCAGTCTCTGATGGGCATAAAAAAGCCAGTAAGGGGGAAGAGGGCTGCAGGAGCTGAAACCAGCCCCCAGCCAATCAGGACAGGGTGAGCAGGGCTGAGATGACTGTACCCTAAGGGGGCATTGACTCACCCCGGAACCAGATATAAAGACCCAGGGGTGTTGGGACCCTGGCCCTTTCCTTCTCATCTTCCCAGGATGGAGAGCCTTTCCTAAGAACAGGCCCCCTGCCCTCCTATGACAAGCACCCCGATCCCTGTTCTCTGGCTCCAAGCTGGGCTCCCCTGATGCATCTGAGCCAACCATGATGACCCTGCTCCAGCCCAGGGAAGAAGGGCACTGTGAGGCTCCAGGTGACCCTCCAACTCCAGGGCATTAAGGGGGTTCCGTGTGCCTTTCTATGAAATGGACACAATTCATCAGGAGGTCTCCCAACTCGGTCCCTTTCTCTAGTTCCAATTCATGCTGGAGTTCCAATTTACAGTGAGCAGGGCCAGCCATGGGCTTTGGGGCTGGAGTCTGGGGAAGGTTTTGAATGACAGCTACACTTCTGATGCCCGTGCTCACCAGGCCCCCGACAAGGGAAGCATTTCTAGGGGCCTTGGTGATGGAAACTCACCCACCAAAACAAAAACAAAAACAAAACCCACAAACCTAAATAAATAAATAAATAAAGATAAGGGGAAAGGCTGATCTTACCCCAGAGAAATCCCCCCACCAACCCAGGCCCCTGGCCCCCTCCCAGGGATGCTACAGCCATTCTGAGCATCAGCCCAGGTCAGCACTGAGATGTGGGGGGACAGGTCAGAGAAGGTGGCTGCAAATCTGTTCTTGGAGACCCTGACAGAAGACAGACCCCAATCCTGAGCCTGCACCAAACGGCCTCCCCTGGGGAGCAGTAGCCAGTGAGATGATTGGGACAGAAAGGCTACAGCCAGGAAGGGGCCTACCCATCTCAGCCAGGCAGGGGTCCAGGGGCCCAGGGGCCCAGAATCTGGAGCCTTCTGCAGCCTGTATGTCCACCCATCTTGGGTGGGTGGAAGAGAGACATGGCATGGAGGCTGCAGCCTGCACAGGGACGAAGGGCATCCACTGGTCTCTGACCCCAGGCTGCCAGGCCCACAGAGCAGGGAAGAGAGGAAGGAGGAGGTGGCGTAGGTGAGAGAGCAAAAAGCAGCTCAGGAGCTGCCTGCCCAGGGCTGCTGTCGAGCACGTTATGCACTGCTCAAGGGCAGCTGGCAGAAGGAGCAAATGAAGGCTGAAATACAGTCTATACTCCACTAGCCAAGCACATCTGCCCAGAGGAAAGGGAGCATTTTTCACTTCTCACAAAGATGCCACATGGACTAAAGGGACCTCCAAGAAATCGGCCCCAGATGGGGCAAGACTAGAACAGGCTGAGACTCCAATTTAGCCCCTCAGCATGCAGGGTAAAGTCAGGTGCAGAGAAGGGAAAGATAGGGACTCCTCCCCTCCCCTCTGCAAGGCAATCTGCTTATGCCCCCGCCTCCCTGCCTGACACCCCTTCTGTCTCTCCAAACCTTAAGGAGCCTCAGTTTCTCATGTTTAATGGAGAAAACAGTTTCCAAAATGAGGAAGAAGAGAAGGGTCCTGTTGGCTTGTCCCTCAGCTGGAACTGAGCCAGTCTGAGGAGGTGGGCATGTGGGGCAGGGCATCGCACTGGGCTACGAGCTGCGGTAGGTCTTGATGATGTCCTTGATGGGGCGGCGGCAGATGGGGCAACAGGCGTGCAGAGCCTTCTTGAGGCGCAGGCCGCAGGTGTAACAGAGGCACATGTGGCCACATGTGTAGATGACTGTGTCCACCGCATGCTCATAGCAAATGGTACACTCATCGCTCCACTGGCCCATGCCTGGGGTCAGGGGTGACTCAGGCAGGCTCACTGGCGAGTTGGGGGTCGTGCCTGCGGACAAGCAGGTATCATTCAGGTGGGACAGAGCTCAGCCAGGCCCAGGAGCTTGGCCTAGGTTCATGGGAAAAAAGCCCCTGGCCTCTTGTCCCACCTACATTTATCGGGATCTCCCTGTTTACCCTGATGACCTCACTTCCTGGGTAAGAGAAGGGAGAGGATGCACTTCCTGGAGAGCCCCACTTCTGGCCCGCTCATCCCCCAGTTCAGGGGCAAGGGTGGTCATGAGGCAGTGGGAGGAAAAAATGGAAGGAGGGATGAAGGAAGGCAGGGAGCCCGAATGTTTTAAGACAAGCTCCTCCAGAGCTACCCTTTGGTGCTCCCTCCCTGTGTGCTGAGAAAGCTGTCCAGCTAGGGGACAGGATGGGAATATACCCCAGAAATCACTACCCAGCAAGGGCTCACTGAGCCCTGCTCAGCTGCTCCTGATACAGAAGCTGCATCCCTGCCACAACCATGGGGTTTTGCGTTGTCACCATGGAACTGGGGGAGGTGGGGGGAGGCAGCATACGTACCACCAGTAGAGCTACCCAAAAGTCCAGAGCTGCATGTGCTGAGCAGGGGGTCAGAGAGGCGGCTGCCCAGGGCACTGGGTGAAGTTGGTGTGGAGGCAGGAGAGCAGGGGAGTGATGGGATGCCCCGCTCTGCCAGGATGGTGGAGCCTGAAAGCAGAGGGAGGGAGGGACAAACTAGCCACTCAGAGTCTGAGGGCATCTCCTCCCCTCACAGTGCGTTCCCAGGAGAGACAGTGGTAGCACTGCTGGACCAGGCAGGCTAGCCACTGGGCTCAGGGCAGTGTTTCACAGGCTAGCTTGATGCCCTGCCCCCAGCTCTCTGTTCCCACCTAAAAGTTAAAGGGCTGCTTCATGTTCTGATCTTACAACATCAGCAGTCTCCAAACTAGCCCCCTGCCTAGAATCCCACCTCCACCCCTCCCCAGGCATCCTTCACCTTCCAAGTTTCCCCATGCTAGCAAATAAAGTCACCATCTGAGCCTAGCACGGCCCCTCACGCCCTAGCCTCACCCTCCTGCTCAGAGCCCTGTGCTCTCCATTCGCAGCCCCCAGGTACCCCCCACCTTCTCCTCAGCGCTGGAACCTTTGAAATGCTCTTCACCATCTCCCACACTTGCTCTACTCTTTCCCTCCCTCCTTCTCACTTCCTCTCCTACCTTGCTCTTTCCTTCCCTCCTTCTCTCCTTCCTTCAACAAATCTTCACTAAGGGCCTACCAGGCACAGTGTATACATAAAGCTGGGAACAAACTGACCCAGCCTCGCCTGGCTCTCCAAGAGCTAACCATCCAGAGCACCCCTTGGGGTTGTACGTAACCCCTTCCTCTGGGCAGCCTTGACTCTCTCAAACCACAGGACTCTATCTAGCACTGCCCTGCCTCACCACGCACAGGACTCAACAACTACAAGGCAGGGGTGTTATTTGTTCTTTGCCCAGAAAGCCAGCTTTGTTTCCTCAGTTAAGACGTGCGCTTCCGGAGAGCAGGAAATCCTATTCACCTATGGCTCTCCCACAGGCTCGAATGTAATGCCCTGCACACAAGGAGGTGCTCGATAAGATTAAACTCGCAACCATCCTTAGAGGCAGGGACCTTTATTCCCATTTTGGAGAAATGGAAATTGATCCTGAAAAAGTTCACTGCGGGTAGCAGTCTTTTTTTTCCCCCCTTTTTAAGTGGCCTCTGGGGAGTGTGTATCTGGGCTGTTTATGCATCTGTGAGAATGTGGGTCAATCAAATCCCCAGGGTGTATCGCGGGAGATTTGAGGACCACTCTATTGGAGACCAAATACCGCTCAGAAATCACTTTCTGGGTCTGTGAATCCTTGGCAAGGCCATATATACTGGGGTGGGGGGTGGGGGTCGCCTTTTTTTCCCCCCCACCCCTCAGCCCCACGTCCCGCCTCCAGGAAAGGCACGATGCTGGGTCTTGAGGAGGGCAGGTGAGGGCCAGCCTCGGGTGTCGGGGTCCCCGGTCCCCGCACGGGTGTCGTTGGGGTAAGCTGACGCGCCCGCCGGAGACACTCACCGAGGATGCGGATCTGCGTGATGGCCCCGTGCAAGCTGAAGAGCATCCAGAGCGGCTGCGAGACGTCTACGCACAGCTGCATGCCGGCGGCGGCGCCGTTGTGGCTGAGGTGCAGCTCGCCGTCGGCGTTGACCACCAGGCCCAGGATGTCGCCGCTGTGCAGGGGCCCCGGCACGCGGCACACGGCCCAGAACTCCTTCCGGTCCACCAGGGCCTCAGGGCTGAAGGGCAGGTCCGCCGGCCTCAGCGTGCCGGGGTCGCACGTGGTGACGCCGAAGGAGAGCGCGCCGGGCCGCGCACCGCCAGAGCGCGTGACCTTGACGAAGATGGTCTCGGCCACGCGCACGGGCCGGCTGGTGAAGACGAGCGCGCGCTCGTCGCGCCCGTGCTCCAGGCGCGCCACCGTTTGCTCGTCCAGGATGCGGACGTGCGCGCCAGCGCGCAGCGCGTGAAAGCGCAGGTCGCCGTCGAGCTGAGCGGGCAGCGCGCGGCTGTGCTGCGAGTTGAGCGAGTTCTGTGGAATGGGGCAGCCGGCGGCTGGCGTACCCTCGTCGCTGTCGGCGCCTGGCATGTTGAGGTCGCACAGGCTCACAGAGAGTCGCGCCTCGTCCGCCTCGCGCCGCAGCGACGGCCGGCGCAGGGCGGTGAAGGAGCGCGGCCGCAGGCAGTCGGGGAGCACCAGCTCGCTGTCTGCGGCCGGGAGCAGGAGGAGCCGGCGGGGGAGAGGGAGGGGAGAGACAGAGCGACCATCAGACGGGAGGATCCACTGGGCTACTTGCCGGAGGGGGCTGGGTGCAATGGGGGTCGCTGATTTGCGGCTGTTCAGTCCCCTGCATTCTTTCTCTTACTATGTTTTAAAGTATGCATCATTAGAACACTGAATTTTTAATGGCCTAGAAAATGCTTAGACATAACATTAATGAGAAGAGGCAGGCTACCAAGTTGTGCATAACGTTTAACTATTTGTTTAAGCAAAGGAATAAGACCGGGAAGACACCAAAATTAAAAACATATAATTGCTTGTAAACAGTAAGCTTATAGATGCTTTCTTTGTACATATGTTTATTGTCCTATTTTCTACAATAAGCGTATTTCTCTCTCTATATATATATATGGCCCTTTCTCTTTATTCCCAACACCTAGAAGAGAGCCAAGCACTTAGACCCTCAGTAAATATTTGTTAATGGATTGATGACATCCTAACACTCCTGGAGGCCAAAGTGAACCCACCTCCCCAGAGACCCTCTTTGCACAAATTCTCTCATCCAGTCATGACAATTACCTTTTGAGGTTATCATTGCTACTTAAGGGCATTGAGGCTGAGAACAGTTAAGCAAACTTATCAAAGACTTCCTTTAGAAGTGACTTAGCTGGGAATCAAACCTTTTCTCTTTTTAATCACACAAGTAAAATAGACTCCTTGTAGAAAATACAGTTCAGCAAAAAAAAAAAAAAAAAAAAATTAAAACACCTATTGGGCCACCACCCAGAGAAAAGCACTATTAATATCTGAATTATGACCTTTCAGACTTCTTTTCAATGTATTTTTTGTTATTTTTCTTTTTTAATGGTGTCATGCTATATAAATGCCAGTAGTTTCTACACTTGATCTTAGCCCAAAGGCCTAGAAGTGATAAACACCAGTGGTTTTTTAACCTTTTATGGGTAACAAATCCCTTTGACAGTCTGATGATAATTTCGACCTCTCTCCAGAAAAATGCATTCTCACCAAATTCTGAGGATAATTTCACAGCATTACTGATCCACATGAAGCCCATCCCCAGGTGTGGACCCCAGGCTTCAAACCTTGCCACATAGGTTTCCTTTTCTACAACTAGCTTTTTCCACTTACTGTGTCCCAAACACCTTTCCAACACCATATTGGAAGAGGCTGCACAGGCCCGGCTCACTGTTATTGCCTCCCCACTGCTGACCGCCACCTTGTCTCGGGATTTTGTTTTTCCCTCCAGTTCCAGCCTCTACAAAAGGTTTAAGATTAACCGATGTTCCTCCCTGGAGGGTAGAAAACAAGTGATAATGATCTAAGAATGACAAACCAAACAAAGCACCCATCTTGTGACAAGAAAAAGCAGGATGTCGCCAGAAAATCCCCAAGGATGTCATCAGATAACCTCTAAGAATACCAGTAGAAGGTTAACTCACCTAAGACATCACCACCTCAAGGGGAAACTAACACAAATTTCTACGATCCATAATCCTGTCCCTATAAAAGCCTTCAGCCGATCTCCAGTGGGGAGATGGGTTTTCTGGAGGTATCTATTCCCGTCTGTCTCCTGTATATCGATATATAATAAACGTCTCGCTGCCCACCTCACCCCTGTCTCAGAATTGGCTATTGCGGCAGGCGGCTCCAATCCGCGTTATTGCGGTAACAGTATCTTTTTTTTAATGGCTGTGTTATGTCCTGCTTTGCGGAATCCTATAATGTATAATAAGAGTAATCACCCTGTAGCATGAATTCTCCTGCATTTCATCCTTCAAGCAGCCCACAGAGGTGGCCCATTTTACAGATAAAGCTCAGAGATGTTATGTGACAAGCACCAAGTGACAAATCCAGGATTGAAGCAAGGTCTGTCCAACTCCTGACACCACTTTCTTCCCTTCCAGGCCCTCCTTGTTTACTGAGCTTCCTCCCTCTCCCTCCCAGTTGAAGTCTCCTAATTTGGCTGGTGCCACCCCCTGGACCAACCCTTCCCCAGGAGCTTTCTCTCTGAGTCTCTCCAAGGGAGAATCTGCCCCGCTCCGCGAACTCCCCACTTGCTTTCTCTGGAGGAGCTGGGTAAGGGGGTGGGGGCTTGTGTATGACAGTGAAGCCTGGAACCTAGTCTGTGTTGGAACCTGGTCTCTTGGAGGCGGCAGAGCCTAGCATTCAGCTCCAGCTAAACTTAGTCTCTAAAGCACCCCCTGCTTTTGCTCTCTTCCCCCCTCCCCCCTCCTCCCAGAACTGTGTTGTCTGGGGCCAGGCAAGGTGAGGGTACTGGGCCCTCCCCCAAGCCTCTCACCCCTCAGGAGAAGCCTCTTGGGGCCTGGCTGGTTGGGGTTTCCCGGCAACATGCTTGGCGGGGAGAAGGGAGTCGACCGGAAAATGTGATTATTCCAGGGAATTGACTTGGTGACAGCAATGGTGCAGAGAGGCTGGGGAGCTGCGGAAAGGCAAGGAGGGCCTGTGCGGGAGGGGAGGCACTGAGATAAGAGTAGGGAGCCGGGAAGGGCCTGTGGGCTGACCTGGAACCTGGGAACAGCCCCTGCTCCCCCACTCCTCAGGGATTCCAGGCACGGGCCCTTTGGGAATCCAGAAGGATAGAAACAGAGAGGGAAGGACTGCAGGATGAGGAGGGAAAAAGGAGTGCAGAGATGCCCAGTCAGCGACACAGGCCTACAGTGGCCCACCTTACATATGCGCCCCCACATGTCACCCTTCACACACATACCCTCAGGACAACCAATCCAGAGCCCGCAGAGGTGGGCAGACTCTCAGCACAGATTTCTTATTAGGGCTGGATGTGAACTACCCTATCTCTCTGCCCCTTGAGGAGTCCTCTTCTTGAAAATTCCCACTAGCAGGTGCTCACTACCTCCCAAGGCAGCCTGTTCCATTGTTGGGTTAGTCTGTCTTTAAAATGTGTTTCCTTCACTTAAACTGAAATCTTCCTCTCTGTATTTATATTGTAGCCACTACCTCTAGAGCCCTGGTGGCACAGTGGTTAAGCGTTAGGCTGGTAATCAAAAGGTCAGCCGTTCGAATCCACCAGCAACTCCTTGGAAACCCTATGGGGCAGTTCTACTCTGTCCTATTAGGGTCACTATGAGTCAGAATCGACTCGATGGCAACGGGTTTGTTTTTAACTACCTCTGAGGCTGCCTCTCAATCACATATTGAAGACAACTCTCCTCAGGGAATCCTCAGGCTCCCCACATGCCTTCCCACCTCTTAGACAATGAACAGAACCAGACTCGGAACTCCAGATGTGCCCCGACCAGCCCAGGGTACAGTGTGGCCATCACCTCCCTGTTATACACATCAACCCGTTGCCATCAAGTCACTTCTGACTCATAGCAACCCCATAGGACAGAGCTGAAATGCCCCATAGGGTTTCCAAGGCTGTAATCTTTATGCAAGCAGACTGATGCATCTTTCTCCCATGGTGTGGCTGGTGGGTTTGAACCACCTACCTTTCAGTTAACCGCTGAGTGCTTAACCACTGCACCACCAGGGCTCCTTTGATATATACATTATATTTCTAGTAATGCAACCTAAGAGTACTTTAGCTTTTTCCTTTTTAGTAACCAAAATCCATATACTGGTAGATAGGATAGCAGCATAGTTAAATACAAGGACTTTGAAGTCATCAGCCTAGGTTCAAATCCTGACTCTGCCATTTCCTGGCTGTATAACCTTGGACAAGCAGCTTAACCCCTCTGGGCCTCTCCTCTTCAGCAGGGAAATCAGCATGTACTGGTTTATCTGTATTATAGTACTCCACTTAGAATGGATACTGTGAAGATGAAATGGAATAAGGTACATAGGGCACCTAGTAGAGTATCTGGCACATCATAATCACCAGGTTAGTATGAGCCATTATTATCATTATTATCATAGAAGTGAGGATGGCAAGACTTCATCTCACGTACTTTGGACATGTTATCAGGAGGGACCAGTCCCTGGAGAAGGACATCACGCTTGGTAAAGTAGAGGGTCAGTGAAAAAGAGGAAGGCCCTCAACAAGATGGACTGACACAATGGCTGCAACAATGGGCTCGAACATAGCAACAATAGTGAACATGGCGCAGGACCTGGCAGTGTTCCGTTCTGTTGTACTTAGGGTTGCTATGAGTCAGAACCGACAGCACCTAACAACAACATTGTCATTTAAATGCCATATGGTTCAGAAGGAAGTGCATGTGGGCTTTGGGGTAATACAGATCTGGGTTTAAATCTCCAATCCAGCACTCGGCTGTGTGGCTGTTGGGCAAACATCTTTCCTCCCAGCCTCAAACCCCTCACCTAGAGAGCAGGAATAATACCTGCCTTATGGTACGGTTGCAGGGATCAGAGATAGAGTGGGAAGCACCTGGCACCTAGAAGGTACTTGATAAACTCAGATACCAGGGTTTGTCAGGTTGTTTGTCAACCAAAGTTAGGACCACCTGTATGCGGGCAATTGACTTTTTCAACCTTTGTGCAGGACTTTCTATCAGTCATGATGGGCACCCAGGAAATATTCATGAACTGAAACTACTGCCTAACGACCAGGAGGGAGAAGCTAACAAGTGGAGATAGAAGAGAAAGAAGGAAGGAGAAGCAGTGGACATGGAGAGAGAGGAGAAGGGGATAGAAAAATGACCCTTTGGCAGTGCTTGAAATATTGCTGGAGGTGGGAGGGGCGGTACAGGAGATGCTGGGAAACAGCTAAAAACAGAATCCCTGGGGCCAGTGTCCAGCCCAAGTATGTCTTCTGTCCCACCCGCTCCACCCCTCAGGGTCAGGAGCAGCTACAGGCAGCCAGCAAGCTCTAAAATAGCCCTCCCATCAGTGGGCCCAGCTTTGCAGGGGCCCTGAAATAGATGAAACCCGAGCTGGGGGAGCTGGCCAGAGCGCCCTCCACAGAAAGGACAGAAAAGGTCACAGCTGAGTGAACTGTTACCAAGTTGGAGGTCAGGGAACGGAT